TTTTTTTTTTTTTTTAAATATATCTTATTGATTTTTTTACAGAGAGAAAGGGAGAGAGATAGGAAGTTAGAAACATCGATCAGCTGCCTCCCGCACATCTCCTACTGGGAATGTGCCCGCAACCCAGGCACATGCCCTTGACTGGAATCGAACCTGGAACCTTTCAGTCCGCAAGCCGACGCTCCATCCACTGAGCCAAACCGGTTTCGGCGGAATGGTGTTTTTTTTTTTTTTTAAATATATCTTATTGATTTTTTTACAGAGAGAAAGGGAGAGAGATAGGAAGTTAGAAACATCGATCAGCTGCCTCCCGCACATCTCCTACTGGGAATGTGCCCGCAACCCAGGCACATGCCCTTGACTGGAATCGAACCTGGAACCTTTCAGTCCGCAAGCCGACGCTCCATCCACTGAGCCAAACCGGTTTCGGCGGAATGGTGTTTTTTTTTTTTTTTAAATATATCTTATTGATTTTTTTACAGAGAGAAAGGGAGAGAGATAGGAAGTTAGAAACATCGATCAGCTGCCTCCCGCACATCTCCTACTGGGAATGTGCCCGCAACCCAGGTACATGCCCTTGACCGGAATCGAACCTGGAACCTTTCAGTCCGCAGGCCGACGCTCTATCCACTGAGCCAAACCGGTTTCGGCGGAATGGTGTTTTTTGATTTGGCATCTGACCCTGAGGAGTACATTCTGGATGGTTCACCCTCTTCTTCTACTTCTAACATCAGTTATTGATATGTAACTAGAGTTCTAGAAAAATTGGGCCTTTCTTGCCCAAGTTCTTAAACCCTCATGGTGAAAACTGTTCACTGCACAAGTCCCTCCTCATTCTTTCCTGTACCGGCCCTTTAGGATCCAGGAACTGATACCAAGTGGTGGGAATAAAACTGTAAACAGGACAGACAGGTCTCAGCTTTCTTTGGAACTTCAGTTCTGCTGAGAGAGAGAAACAAAAATTTAAGTCAAAACAACTTGATTGGTGTTCCTGGCCCCAATCTGAGATTTTTTAAAAAATATATTTTATTGATTTTTTTACAGAGAGAAAGGGAGAGAGATAGAGAGTTAGAAACATCAATGAGAGAGAAACATCAATCAGCTGCCTCCTGCCCATCTCCCACTGGGGATGTGCCCACAACCAAGGCACACGCCCCTGACCAGAATCGAACCTGGGACCTTTCAGTCCGCAAGCCGACGCTCCATCCACTGAGCCAAACAGCTTCGGCCCAATCTGGGATTTTTGTTGTTATTGTTGTTAATCCTCACACAAGGGATATTTTTTCTATTGATTTTTAGATAGAGTGGGAGGGAGAGAGGGGTAGAGAGAGAGAAACATTAAAGTGAGAGACACGTAGATTGGTTGCCTCCCGAGCCCCACCGGGGCCTGAGGAGGGATGAGGATCAAACTGAGACCCTTCGGTCTGTGCTCTAACCACTGAGCACACAGCCCAGGGCCTGGGGTGTTTTTTCTGCCTGTCCTCTCTGCATCCTTCCACTGGGTGGGAGATGAGGGCGGGCGCTGTACGCAGTGCTACAGTAACTACGCGCTGGGATCAGAGTCAGAAATCTTGAGTTCAGTTTGATACTGGCTCTGCCACTTTAAGCTGGGTGAGCAAGTTGTCCAACTTTTCTAGGTCTCACTTTCTTCATTTGTAAAAATGGAGATAATAACAACACAGGCTTTGTGAGGATTAAGGGCTTGGCACAGAATCTCCACATAATACTCAATACCTGCTACTACTCTTCTGTATATAGTAGTCCTCGAACTTTCTTTTTCCGAAGCGCTCTTTTCCAGTGCACAGCCATCCCCGCCCACCGCTATAAAAATGAAGGAGGGAGCCCTGGCTGGGTAGCACAGTCGGTTGGAGTGTTGTCTGGAGGTCATGGTTGTAGGTTTGATCTCCTGTTTGGGCACATACAGGAAGCAAATAGTGAATGCATGAATGAGCAGAACAACAGCCCTGGCCGGTGTGGCTCAGTTGGTTGGAGCATAGTCCATCCACTACAACCGAAAGGTTTTGGGTTCGACTCCCAGTCAGGGCATTTACCTAGGTTGCAGGTTCAGGTTTGATTCCCGGTTGGGGTCTGCGCACTCTCTTCCTTCCTCTCTCTAAAATCAATTTTTTAAAAAATGACAGAGGAAAAAAAATGATGGAGAAACAATGTTGGGAAATTTCTATCTTTTCATCTTTTTTTTTTACCTAGACATTGGAAAGAGACTCCCAGTATATGACTTGAGTAGATCCCCTACACTCAGCTCACAGAATTCCAGTTTGCCATTGGAATATGTGTTGCTCACACATTTGAATATGCTTCACTGTTTTTTTGTTTTTGTTTTTTTTTAATATATTTTATTGATTTTTTTACAGAGAGGGAGAGAGAGAGATAGTTAGAAACATCGATGAGAGAGAAACATCGATCAGCTGCCTCCTGCACATCCCCCACTGGGGAAGTGCCCACAACCCAGGTACATGCCCTTGACCGGAATCGAACCTGGGACCCCTGAGTCCGTAGGCTGACGCTCTATCCACTGAGCCAAACCGGTTTCGGCTGCTTCACTGTTTTTTATAGGAACTTCTCCATTGCCTGAAGGTAATTCTGTAATTTAGCATAACTTTGGAGAGGGGGGATATTGTAGGACACGCCTGTCACCCAGAAGCTAAGAACTAAACAAGTATTTGATTACTGGAAGTGCCCACATATTAATGAGGGTAAGTTTAACAGGACATATTCCTCTTTGATGGTTCTGCAGTTCTACAAGGCTGGGGAGGTGTGTGATGGCTGCAGAAGACCTAGGGTCAGCACAGCAAAGATGGCGTCTCTTTTTCCTCCTCTATAGCACCCAGCATGTTCATTCCCAGGCATACAGGAAGAGCTCACTCAACACTACCTGCCAGCTGTGTGCTACTGGGTAAGTTACTTCATTCCTTGAGCCTTAGTAGCAAATAAATACTATGCTCGCTTATAAGGCTTTGTGTGAGCAGGAAATGAGCTAATAGTAAAGCCCCACACAGTGCCCGACACATGGCTGTTGGTTCTCTTCCCCTTTCACTTCTGTGTAGTTCCTAACCCCACCCCCACCTCGCCAAATTACGTTATTTGAGTCAGGGACTTTGTCTGCCCACTGCCTAGCACAGGAACTTCCCCTAGTGACAGTTTCAATTTATTCATGCATTCAGTGAATCTTTGAGTACCTACAGTGGACAAAAGCTTGGAGTTGAGAGAGAGAGCAGGTTCATTCAAGAACCCAGCTAATTGACTATGACCAAAGAAGCGGAGACTTCCAGGAAGAAATGATGAGAGCTAGAATGGTTCATCTGGATTAGTTTTTCGTTTGTTTTAGAGAGCGAGAGAGAGAGGTTTGTTGTTCCATTTATGTATGTATTCATTGGTTGATTCCTGTACCTGCCCTGATCAGGGATTGACCCCATAACCTTGGTGTATCAAGGATGATGCTCTAACCAACTGATCTACCTGGCCAGGGCTGGGTTAGCTCTTAAAGGGTTTTGTGGGTTTTATACAAATTTTTGGACTTTATCCTATGAGTCAAGGATCGCCACTGAACCAAAACGTGGCAGAAACTTTTTTTGTTTTTATTTTAGAATGGCTGTGGTTCTCAGATTTTAGTGTGCTTAGGGATCACCAGGGACGCTTGTTAAAAAGGAGGAATCCCGGAGCCACACCGCTTGAGAACATTCATTTAAATCAGCACCCTAGCCCTAGCCGGTTTGTCTCAGTGGATAAAGCGTTGGCCTGTGGACTGAAGGGTCCCGGGTTCGATTCCAGTCAAGGGCGCATGCCTGGGTTGCAGGCTCAATGATTCCCAGTAGGGGACTTGCAGGAGGCAGCCGATCAATGATTCCCTCTGATCATTGATGTTTCTCTCGCTCTCTCTCCCTCTCCCTTCCGCTCAATAAGGATAGATATATTGGGGGGCGGGGAGGAAATCAGCACCCTAGCTGATTCCGATTCACTTAAATGTTCAGGTACCAGTGGGACTTACCTTAAAAGAAAAAGACCAGTTAGGAGGCTAGTGCAGTAGCCCTGGGGAGGGCTGACTTGAACTTGGGCCTTCCTTGGCTTGTCTTACAGTGAAGGCCTTACGCCTCCTCTGTCCCATGGAGGACCAGCTGGAAGCCCAGCAAATGCTGCCGAAGGGAGACATATTTGGTAGGTATTAGAAGGCAGCACACACACGACTCGGAGGCGGAGGGTACGGGGAGTGTGTGAGAGAGAGAACGGGGTCTGGGACGCCCCCTCTCCAGCATGGGGCAAGGTCCTATCGGAGTGCCATTCGCCGAACCTGGTCGGAGGAGGTAAAGCGAGGAATTTCTGTTGAGATCCGCTGAGTTTGAGGCGCCTCTGGGCCATCCAAGTGGAGATGTTCCGGAAGCCAGCTGGATTTATAGGTTGGAAGCTCAGAGAAAGATCCGGACTAGAAATAGAGAGTTGGGAAGGATTAACAAGTAGATGGGAGTGGAGGTGGGAGAAAGGGCCTAGATTAGAGTCTAGAACACAGCCCAGGGAACATTTTGAGGGCAGAGCTGAGGAGGAAGAGGAATGCGAAGGGATCAAGGACGGGCCAGAGTCCCAGCCCAAAGCCCCGGGAGGGCGCTCAGGAGGGGCTGGCGGGCGCGCTGGACGCGGCCTGGGCGCGTGGTGACCTTGCGGAGAGCAGCGTCCCTGCGGCTGCGGGGCCGGCGGCAGATTGCAGCAGCGGCCGCGGGAGTGGGAGGCGGGGGAGTGCCGACGGCTGGCAGGGCCCCCGTCTTCAAGACGTTTGGCCAAGAGCGGAGAGAGAGATGGTGGCAACTTACGACAGAAATAGAACCGCGTCTTTTTCTGTGCTGACGGTGGAGCAGAAGGAAGTACAGGGATAAAGGCTAAAATAAAACCTACCGAGGGCGAGAGGGGGACCCACTGCACAGATGTTGGGATTTGTTCTGAAAGCAGGAGGGACCAGCTTCCATGTTTTAACCGGACGGAAGGAGGAAACGATGGACCGGATCGGAAACCTGATAGTGGGCCGTTCTCCCCGGTGGAGTGTCTCCTCTCGGAGGTTGGGAGCCAGGCCCGGAGGAGGGAGTTTGGGGGATGAGCATTTCCCACCTCAGCGGGCCCAGGTGCGGGGCTACCGGCGCGGGGGCAGTCACTGCGCCAGGCAGGGACTTAGTGGGAAGCGGGTTGAGGCTGAAGCTTTAAAATCCAAAGGATGCGAGGCTGACCGGGAGGAAGTGTGATGCTCCTCTGACCCTGAGGAAAACTGCATGTGGCCAGTGAACAAGGGTGTGTGTTTTCCCCTAGAACCTCGTGCTGGGGCTACAACTCAGGCTCCCCTTCCTGGTCCAGTCAGACTGCCTTGCCCGGCGTGTGTCCCACGTCCAGGCCTCAAGGCTCCTCGTCCTCAACGAGGACCAGCTGGAAGCCATTTTGATTAAGCTCCACCACAGAAGGACAATACAGCCCCGCCCAGAGCAGGCGCGCCCCCGCGGCGGGCCGGGT